GTGCTTTAAACAACTAGTCAGCTATATATTGTCCACCCTGTAGTTCCATTTGGCAGCTAGCAAAACGTGGACATTTATTACAACATTCCTTATATCTGGGTCTGTACGCCCGCCACTGTTTTTGCACTCCCAACTCCTAAATTGTCTAAGTAGGTCGTGGAAGCAGTATTTCACTGTGGTCCGGGACTATGCGTCATCCGCACCGCCCGAAGAACCATAGAAATGTATATGCAGCCAGCCGCTGCTGTGCTGCTGAGGCTGCTGGGGATGCTGCTGCTGCTGCAGCAGAACCATTACTCCTCCACCTCCAAAACAACAGTCATTATGAAAGTTACACGGAACAATCATAATTTACTCTCAGCTTGTTGCACTCGAGAGAACAAAAACGGGAGGAGGATCTACGGTGTGTGCGTCATCATATGATGAAGTTCTGCCAATATTTGCATTTTGATTTGCCTACATGGGAGGGAGCTAGAAACTTTGTGAATGTCTTGGGTCGCTAAGATTTGAATTACATACTGACACTCTGGTTCTAGCAAGAGCAACAGAAGATTCCCTTTGTTCAAATTTCTTTGGATCATCTAGTGTTTTTCTAGAGTTTGTCGGGTTCCTTTAACCCTTAACTACCCTAGTGCAGAAATTGTAACGTCAATAACTTAGTGCGGTCTCAGGGTCCGCACATTACTAACAATCTCAGTTACAAAAAATATAATATTTTGCGTGTTGTAAATATTCAGGCAGAGTAGAATGAGACCTGAAGTAACACATAACATATAATTTTTACCATACTTCATTTAAAAAAATCTTTCACTTCGACATATTTTTACACAAATTCCTTATCTTAGCTATAAAACAAAACACAATATTCTATGCGGAATTAGTAACAGATTCTAGTATATGAATAAACTGTCCACTGAGACATAAATTAGTTTGAGTGATAACTTGAAAGGATTAAAAAATACAAGGGGTGAAAAAGTCAAAGATTGTGTTTAAAATGTTTACAAATTTTTGACGCATGCTCCAAACAAGTAGGCTTATGGCACATTTTAAATAAATAAAAAGTTTTTCTTTTAATTCTTGGTGGACAAGTGTGACATGATTTTCTTTTTTTCTAATTTTTCCTAGGAAACATCTTCTTCAGCACGGTTAGGGAGTGATAGAATTCTACGAATTCTAGTCCGAATGTCGTGCTTTAGTTTTGTATTTTCTGCACGTCTAATAAGATGGGTTCTAACCAATTTTTAGAAAGTCTGCTTTTTCGATCTTTGTGCTATTTTTGAACGACTGATGAAGAACATGTGCATTTACACCACAAATATCAAGTAACTACGGCCAGATCGCATTCTGGTTGGTGGTCTACTATCGTGCAAAGAATATTCACTTTCCAGTTTTTGAATTATGCGACGTTTATTGAGCTGAGACGGTGCACCATGACGACCATATTTAGCACGAAATGCTCTTTGAGTAGCGACAACACTTCTTGAACTTTGATTGAATATTTAGACGATCTCCAAACTGCCTTACTGAACACAAAATAACTCAGCTGTCAGAAAACAGACAACTGCGATGGCGGCAGTAAGCTGTCAAAATCCTATCATCATCCCAATTGGGATAGAGTAACACAGACGCCGTAGACCAGTCACTGTGACCGCTCTGTAACTTTTGTCACATTTCTATTGAAAACCGATAAAAGTGCCACCTTCAAACTTTTAGCGACAAGCTGACCACGTGGTCACTTGAAGGTTGCGAGGGTATTGCCTGATTATATTGAAATGAGGGTACGATATATAGAAATAAATATCTGCTGCGGTCTCAGTGACCACACTACGGCGGTTAAGGGTTAAATGTTAACTGTATAAAATCTGTAGAATGAGCAAGTAAAATGGGATTGCCTCGGTTTTCCTACTACAGGAATAGAAAGCTCCTTGGACAGTTACTTTTTGGATTACCTCGGAACCAGATATTTTGTTAGATTGTGATGGATTTCGTCCGCTGGGATAGAAAGTCTCCGTGACCATTTTCTCGGTTTGGTTTACTTGAGACATGATTAAGTTGAACCTAGATAATTGCGTGCAATGTTGTAGTGCTAAAAAGGCGGCTATACTTGGCCATGGTTCAGGTAACAGTTTCCGATATCGCAGCGGGATAGATGCCGATTCTGGCGGTCTTGATTCTGATTCTTGGGTTCCACCGTTGCGATACCAGCGCTTAGAACCTGGTTGTACATTTGAACTGTTGAAAGAAAGGATACAGCTCGGATTCAGGAATATGCCGCGACCGTAACACGCATTTTCGCACTAAAGCTTTTAATTTCAGCGACTCCACTACAAGGTAATAATTGAGGTGTGTAGTTGGGAGTATAGGCGGTTTCTCGATTCGTTGCCATTTTAATGTTGAATTGATTGAGGTTCAAGGATAGACGAAAAAAGATTTGGTGTGGTGTAGAAGAAAGAAAACTAAAACATTTAGATAGAAAGATACTCGTACGCTACCCCCAAAATTGAATGGCAATTCGTAAGATGTCTCAAGTTTTAACGCACTCATTGACACAAAAACTATACACAATTTCCAATAGGACATCGGAAATTGTATTAACCTGTCAGAAGGCCCCAGTCGACATAGCACTTCCGGAGGGGTATCAGTTACTACTCCTCAACACCCCATCCACCCTGTATCATGCTACAATCCCCGTGACCTTCCATCAGAAAAATGTATTCACAGCCGCCACAGACAGTAGAGCGTTTTTCGCTTGTACTCTTTAAAATCAATATCAATATTCGAATCCTAATAGAAACGTACTTTTCAAATAGTCTGTTAAAAATCAACCTGGCGGCCTTTCGTGCTGGTATTAAGACCAATGAGTTCGAGTTCAAGAATCGAGATATACTGCCGATCGTATGTTTTGGATTTGCGGTAATCAGAATCGAAAGGAATAGGAATCAGAAAGGAATGGTGTTTTGTTGCTAAAATACAAAATACTCAATGTGAGATTCGAGGACGTTGAGCCGCAGTGTAACATTTATTTGCTTTGTGGTGCACAAAGAATCCCTTTGAAAGTAGGAAATCGTTTAACGAGCATGAACTGTCGTAAAGGAAATAGATAACCTTACTGCAATTACTTCGGGTGCAGATTGCCGGATATACAGGCGGAAGGAATCGATATTCTATTTAAAGCATTCATCTTTAATCAGCAAGGCGTGTGTAACACAAATTCTTCTGACAGCATCTTTTCCTTTTCTCGTCCAGAAAAAAAAAAAGAAATGGCTACTCTTATCCATTATATATACAGGGTGTTAATAAAGTATGTAGACAAACTTTAATTATCGAATTCTTGGTCAATTTGAAGACTAAATGTTCATATGAACATGGTCCGTAACGGCTTTCTTTTCGAGCTAGAGCACTATCACTTAATGTTCCAAATATTTCTATGAATAATGAAACGTATTTATTGAACAGTTGGTATAACCTATGATAAATTGTGCATGTTTTACAAGTTGCTGAGGCTCAATATGAAGGTGGATGAAAATAGTATTCTCCTGTATTTTTGGAAAAAAAATATTTAGGTCAATAGTTTTGAACAGTAACATTCTAATAGAACGACAACAATAGAAAATATCGAATAACTTGTTTTACAATAAATGTTCAAAGTGGCCACCTTCGACTTCAATACAGGCGTCTAGTCTGATTGACTGACGAACTCTTCAGAAAATACCCGGAGTGTTTTGTATAGCCAGTCATGACTCGACAATTCTGACTCTTAAGTCCTCCACGCTTTGAGCGGGAGTCTTGTATACTAATGATTTCAAATGTACCAATAAAAAAAAATCGATAGGATTCATGTCAGGCGATCTAGGCGGCCATGGCTGTGGTCCGCCTCTAGAAATTCATCGATTTGGATAATTATTATCTAGGTATTCTCGCGGAACGACACTGAAGTGTGGCGGAGCACCGTCATGCATGTACCACATGCGACGTCGTTCTCTAAGAGGAATTTCCTCTATTCATCCAGGTAGGTCAATTTCCAAAAATCTTCGGTACTCTTCGCCGCTAAGTCTGGGGGAAGGAAATGAGGGCCAATCAAGTGGTCACTAAAGATTCCAATCCAAATATTGAAGGAAAAGTCGTGTTGCGTATCATGTTTAATTATGGCATGGGGATTTTCTTCACAGCATACATGGTTAATATGGAAATTTATTATTGCTGTTCGCGAAAAACATGCTTCATCCGTCAATAGTATTATTATAGAGTAATATTTAATGTTACTTTTTCACGTAACCAGTTGCAAAAATCAACTCTTATAGGCAAATCTCGAGGCAAAAGCGCTTGTACACGTTGTATATCGTCGTCCGTACCGCAAACAGGCGTAACTGATTTTATATAAATTTTCAGTAGAAGCAGAATGAATATCGACAGTTATTTGATTTCATATATCTTTACTACTTTAGACAATATGAGCATAATTTCTTCCAATAACATAGCTAAAAAGTCTGTTCATCATCTTTTGAGAAGTATATAGAGGAAAGGAAATTCATATTCTCAGCTAAACATGTTTTTTATTTTTTTTCCAGATACGCCTCTTTGCGGTAACCTTGACAATTACAATAGTCTAGCGGTTTGAAGATACGCTTTTCACTCCATATGGAATAAAATTAGATTAAATAAAAAAACACTTTATTCTCAGATGTAAATAATACTCAAGCAACTCAAGGATAATACAGAACAAAAATAAGAAGATGATTTCAAACAAAAACATTTATGGCTGGTCCTCATGAGGTAGTGAATCATAAAAACGTTGATGTTCTGGTAGAGTGATGGCAGGCCTATCGCCTTGGCAAAGTGAGGTCAAATCATTATATTTTTTATTTGTGATTTTTCAAAGGTCGCTATTCAGAGACATCTCTTTTTTTAAAATATCGGAAACATTTCTTTTCAAGGTTATGGACCTGTAGTCTGTTTGCTTATGGCTAGTCTTGAAATCGATTTTGTTGCAATTATCACTTGTCACTTTGAATTCCATCATATTTTCCCAATTCACATCCATGTCTTTATCATCTTTTCGAATAGATAATACTCTTAAGTCTGATGCGAGTTGTTTGAGGTCAAAAAAATTACGATAGTCTAAGGGACGAACCTTATATGGCTGTTTCTTCCTTGCTAATGCATAGACTGGCAATAACTGGCTCGGCACAATAATTTCACCTGCATTTTTCAAAGCGTAACTATTGCACTATGTGCTGAATCGCCTTCATTTTGTCCATGACAAAAGGCAAAAAAATTTAACGATATCTCTTTAACGTTTGAGCAATTACTGACGAGATATAAAAGAGTGGTAGCCATTATCGAATTCTTATTTTGGCCACTACAACCATCAGCAAATAAGTCAACAGTATTGTAGCCTTGTTTGTCTTTTTCGGAAATAAATAAATAAACAGCAGTCGATATTTCCGAGCTACCGCGTTTACTCACTCCATGTATAACAAAAACATTCTCGAGATGCTACTTCATACATAGTTAGATTGTAGACAGCAAGCCGCGTTTTATAAAATACGGAACAATGATTAGAAATTGGTAAGTATATAACTTGTTGGAGATCTTTGTATCATTTTTAGCTTTTTCTTTGCAGCTATTCTTTATTTCTCTTACCGTTTCCTTTTCTAAAATGTGGGCCAAGTACTCCTTTTCCAAATTAGCCTTTACTTCTTCCGATCCTTCTCTGTAACACTTGCAAAGACCACATTGATCTTTTTTTGGTTTGTGAAATGAGAGGTTCATGAATCTGAAAATTTTTCTATACAAAGAAAAACTTCCCTTTGTTTGTTGGTCTTCCAGTTTGCACATGTGATACATTGTACTCAGAGATAAATCTTCATGTAGGTATTGTTTAGTTGAGGACTTCCGGCAGTAATGTGACTCTACTCTGGGGAACCTATTTATGTGCTCTATAATACTTTTTCTAATGAGTATGTCTCTTGATGATTGTAACTCCCGTCGATCTCCACGATTTTCTTTTTCTAGCACACTCGTTGTTCTATTCAATTTCTTTATTGCGGTTCTGCAAACTTTCTCACTTATCCCAAGGGTGCCAAGGAACATTTTTTTACAAACTAATTGTCGGATACCTTCTAGAGGTAAGAAAAAATAATGTGTTTGCTTACGGCGTGGATCATTGCTATTTGTAGTTCTATGTTTTGGGTTTTGAGATAATACAAAACGTGCTATATACTCTCTTTGTTGTTGGAGGTCACCAAGACTATAAAACTGTGAGAATATCATTGTTCTTAAAGGACTGCTGAACAAATAACACATCCTTTTTCTTTTCTTACACATTTCTATATTGCAGATTCCCTTAAGTGCTTTCTCCTTCACAATTTTCTTAGTTACAGGCGAAATATATGTTTCGCCTTGATTCCTCAACGTTTTTGCAGTTCTTCTTTTATCTTCTCTGACTTTTTTTTCCTATCACCTTCTGCCTGGGAACCTTCTACAAAAAAATTGTCAGGGCGCCTCTCTTCCTGTTTCTCTTTGCTAAGTACACTGCTCTGTACTGTCCTGTGTCCGTCCTGGCAGGATAGGGTATCATCTTCAAAATGCTTCCAACATAGCAAAATTGAGCATTGAAAGCACGAACTGAACACATCTACTTTACAGCTGTTAACTTCACAAGTTTGACGATAGTCCGGATCTTCCGGATTATAAATCTCGACTGCAGCAAAGGGATCGCTTTCAGATGAGGTGTGACTCAATTCGGACAAAACATCATATGTATTCTGTAAGTCAAAGGGACATATCTTAGTTACCACTGAGAGAGTAGCAAAAAATGGACACCGCATGTAGGCGTATCTTCATTTACGCCTATTTGCGGTGTATTGTATTTCATTTCTGAGAGATACGACGTTTAGTTTTATGCTGATATCTCTATGAGCGAACTACTTAGAGTTATGCCACTTTGCGGGATTGAAGGTATGCTATACCTTGTTGATTTGAATCCGTTAACTCGAATTTGATTTTTTGTCAGATACGCCTGTCTGCGGTATGGACGACGATATGATATGGATTAAGTTGCTGATTTTCCAAAATTTGCCATACCGTTGCATGATTTAAATTTAGCTGGTGCGCAATTTGTTGTGTACTTGTTGTAGGGTGCTCTTCGATTTTATTGACCACCGCTTCTTCGATTTGGATGGTTCTTACACTTGCGGGTCTTTCTGCAACATGTGTGCATCTCTTAAAACTGCCTGTTTTACATGGTCAAGCGTGAATGTTGATGAAAGTTTGTACATTAGGCAGCGGGCATTGTGGAAATCGATCACCATACAAACGTGGTGCTCGTCGAGCGTTACCCAGAGCCTTTCCGTAAACTAAATGCATATCTGTCATTTCTTGATTACTGAACTGGATCATTATGACAATTAGTAATCACCAAATTTTAGAAATATTTGGAGTCTTAGAATGACCAGACAAGAAAAGAAATATTTGACAGCCGTCGAATTACGTGAGAAAATTAGTTAATTCAATTGTTTCTGAGTACGTCATAGGTGACTAGATATGCACAATGCTTAAATATTAAAAGTATTGCGATCAAAACAAATCAAATCCGTATGGAGGGTCTGAAAGCAACTGTAAATCATGTGATATTCACCACAGGGCATACTTAATTAAAATAAAATACGTTCAGTTCTTTTATAATTTTTTAGAACAATATAATTTCTTTTAGTGTTGATATGCTCTAGCCTGGAAACAGCCGTCGCGGACCCATGTTAAAATGGAAATGTCAAAGTTTGTCTTCATACTTAATTAACACCCTGTATATTGCTGCGACGAAACGTCTGCGCAGAGTAAGTTGAACTTCCATTCAGCTAGGCCATAGTGCTTACCACATAATGAAGAATCCTCCAGAAAGAAAGAAGAAAATCGTTTGACGAGCAGGAACTATCGCAAAGGAGACAGATAACCGTAATGCAATTACTCCGGGTGCAGATTGCCAGATATACAGGCGAAAGGAATCGATATTCCATTTGAGGCATTCATCTTTAATCAGCAAGGCGTGTGTACACAAACTGTTCTGGCTACTGGTGCTGCACACTGGAGGGATTTGCAGCAGCTCAGCCGATGCCGGAGACATTCGCAGTTGGCACGGAGTTTCAGGAGACTCACTCCCCGCTTCTTCGCGTTTGTTTTGCGGCAACCGGGGTAAATATACCGGAATGTGTATGTTTGCTATAACTGCCAAGTAGGACTAGAGGATTGCATTTGCGGGCATAGAATGTACAACGTTCATATTCAAGTTGGGATCTTTGAAACAAAGTTTGGGTGAAGCTCTGCCAGAGTTGTGTACTGAGTAGTAGGCTTTTGGAAAGGGGCATTTTTTCATTCTGAAGCAGCCATGGGGGCAGAAACCTAAATAATAATAACAGCTTCGTTAAATTTTTTTCTAGATGCAACATCGGCAGCTGGTAGTTAAAAATTGTAATTTCGGTCATGCAAGTTATCTGTTAATTTGTTAGGTGTCGCTTATCCAGCCCCTCTTTACGGTAACTAGTAACACATTGTACAAATTCTGGCATATGCTTGTTTAGGCATGCATATAAAAATCGTCAGTGTCAATGAAGGCGCTTATGGATGTACTGTAAACTAGATTAATCTATGGCATTTCGTCAAGTAGACTTTGTGAGGTCTAGTTAAAGAAGTCTAAACTTAGCGTAGTCCCGCGTTGGCTGTGGCTGTAAAGAACGTGAATAATCAAAAATAGAGAACGAAACATCGGCACCGGTGGCACAGTGTGAGTAGTTCTTAATGTTACACAATAAATGTATTTGTGGATACACATACAAAATGCAAAATCCCAGGGTCTGTGAGTGTGTGGGTAGAATAACAAATCAGGCATTGGTAACAGGAATAGGTCTCTCGTCGCCTCTTAACATCCAGCCGGATTTTTTTACTCAGAATTGATCGCACATTATCTGTATATTTTTTGTAGACTATATTGATCTACCAAAAAAAAAACGTAGGATAACTTTTTTTTCAGTATCGGACGCCATTTTGTCTGGGATATATTTGTCCCAGTCAGTCTTTTTTGATGGGACATAATTGACCCAACAGTCCAAATATGATTCGTTTATTTATATGTTCTTTACATTTTTTACAAAACTGAATAACAATAAAAAAATCCAAGAAATAAAACATAGTTTTAGCCATTCTAATTCATGGCCATATCAACAAACCAATATAAACAAAATACATAAAAAAACAACACAATAATCTAAGAGTAAGGATATAACAGAACAGTGTCTTACTTCTGCTGATTTGCTGTAAAACAATTTTTACATAAAGCAATGTTACACATTTGACACATCGTAGTTGTGCGTTTCTCCTTTTTGTATGTTGAAGAGCATCTGTAACATCTTCTTCGCGTTTTGCCCTCTATGGGTAAATGATCTCCGACGTTGAATAATTTAGTTCTCTTAGAGGACGTCCCAAGAACGTGGCAGATTTTCGTTTTACAGCAGCGTGTTTCCTGCCTTGTGCAATCAAACCCTCAGCCACTGCAAGCTGGAAAGACAAAAATGTGGATTTTTGTCGGTGTAAGTCAGAATAAATAACGTTGGCATTCACTACAGCCATCATCAGAACTTTGTAAAAGACCTACTTCCATCATTTTCCAGACTTTCGGTCGAAGTCATACAAGCTCACAATTTGATCTGTTAGATCAACACCTCCCACATGTGCATTATAGAATTGGAGCATCTCAGGGCATGAAATTTCACTTCTTGTACCATCTTTCATTTGCTTATTGCCAGCAAATCCTTCGTATCTTACCATCGACACGCTATGATACTATTGTTATTCACACGGAATTCGGATTCACCTCGGTTCAGTTTGCTAGAAAACTTTGGAACATGTTTTCTGTTGCTCATCAGTGTTCCTACAGCTGCAAAGGGAAGAGACTCCAGCAACAAGGCAGAAGAAAAAAATCTTTTGAAGCAAAGAACAACTTCTATATCTTGAATCGACTCACACAACTGCTTGACAACTCTCTCTTCCAGAGTACCATCGACCTATTCTGTATCCTTGCCAGCATATACGTTCAAATCGTATCCCGTGGAGGAGTCGCTTGGTACCCATACTTTGATCCCTCTTTTTATAGGTTTCATCGGTAAATATTGTTTCATTGACGAACGTCCTTTGAACTTTGCCATCGATGCGTCAATGCTTTGAAGGGTAGAGTCGGAATGATATTTTTGAAATGTGACCTTCAAGCAATTCACTACTTCTTCTATGTAGGAGTTTGTAAGCGCCTTCCGGTTTCTCCGGCGTATTGAAATACATCTTAGCTAAAAGGAGTTTGCAACGTTCTCGGGATATGGCCTTTTTTATTGCTGTACTTCCGAGAGACTCGTTTTTCGACCAATAGTGATTGACTGCAGGTACACGATTATAAGACATTATGAGGGAAACTCCAAGGGTAACCATTTTTTATAGCTGTCGCAGCGTGCTCTTCTTTTCTTCGACGATTTCTCAAATATTGCCAGTCGTTCATTTGTACATTGAGCTATACACATGAAAAGGCTCTTTGGAAATAATTTCAAAAAAATTTCAACCTCACTAAGATACCGCGACAATGTAGTTGTGACGTTTTTATCAGGAAAAACTGAGCATCGAGGAGTAAAAGATCCATCGTTATTGAACCATATTATGTTTTCATTTGTTTTCTCGTTGGTTTTGTTTCCTTTCTTCTTATCACTGATTTTCGTATTTTTTCTTTTATTATTTTCTTTAGACCCCACTCCAGAAGCATCTGAGGACTCTCCATCTGACGAAAATACATTTTCACAGCTCCATTCATCTTCTGACAAGTTATCTTTGACATTGGCTTCTAACAAGCTATCTTCAGAATCGCATTCCGAGGGTTCATAGCTTTCATCTGAACTTTCGCTGTCATGGAATGGATCTTCTTCGTAACGTTCCTCTTCGAAAAAAGCGGCTACTTCAGCTTCTAGCTCTTTTTAAGTCAAATATTTGCAAATAAAAAGCCTGATGGGACACATTGAACCCAATAAAAAAGTCTGCTGAGACACACTGAACCCAATAAAAAAGTCTGCTGGGACAAATAAGTCCCGCAATTATTCATTCATGTTCTGACAAGTTATCTTCGACGGCATTCAAAAACAAATATCTCTTAGACAAAATTATTGTTACAATCTTATCTTTATTCACAGAAATCACACAAAGTTTCTTCCAAAAACCATTGAAATTCAACCGTAAATAATGCTAAAACTTGCACACACCTGTTAACCGCTCGAAAACACAAACAATATGATCGATACGCGATGTTGCCAAACGAAAACTGATACGCAATGTCTAGGGGAGACCTACTAGGACTGAAATATCCATATTAAACGTTAAATGGGACGCATTGGAACCAACAGGCTTTCGGATAACGATGCTGGGACACATATGTCCCGAGAGGCTCGAAAGGGAGGGTGGGTCATCAGTTGTTTTTTTTAAGTTGTGATTATTTTGACAGTTGGTAACACTTCCATGTTCAACATATTGACAGATATATTTGTGTAAAACTTCCCCTGTGAGCAATGGATCGTTTTAATCTTGAACAAAGGTGGGAAATATTCAGGGCCGGTCGTAGGGTGGTGAGCGCCTGCGGGCAGGATTTTTGGTGCGCCCCTATATGTTTTGAATGCCCTATATCATAATATATTCTTACAATGTCATATGTCATCCATACAATTTATATAAAGAAGAAAAATAAAACGACCCAGTTTGAAGGTCACTGCAATACAGTAGCAGGTTAACGCACCAGTAGAAAAATGCGTAAATTAACAAGAGATTTTGGAATATTACACAAAAAGGATACTATGAGTACGTAACTAATAATAAATTTATCAGAACACGACACGTCTTGCTTTCACAGCTGCAAGCTCGTCGATCATTTCATTGTGATCAATGGCTTCACAGATTTTATTTTCAATTGAAATAATTGTCAAATCTGACAGCCTTTCTTGGCACATTGATGTTCTTAAATAATTTTTTATAAGATTCAATTTCGAGAAACTCCTCCCGCCAGAAGCGACCCAATTGGTATGGTTAGGAATATCCTTAAGGCTATAAATAAATTTGGGAACAAGGACTGCAGATTTTTCTTTGTTATATGGTTTAAAATATGGAAAAATGGAATTTTGTATGACATAATTTCATTGTGTAGATCAAGACCGTCAATATCTTTAGATACATTTTTTCATGTTGAATTTGCAAAGCCAAATCCAAATCTATACGTGTCATTGATTACATCAGACTCCAGATTTGGATATCACCCAAAAAAAAACAAATAAATCAGTACACTTGTCTATTCCCTTTGTAGAGACTGAATGGTTGTGTCAAAATTGTAAAATAAAACTTATCTTAAATTTTTGCTAAGGATCCAAAACTTATTCATCTGTACTTTCATATGAAAACTGACGCTTCGGTCTTATTTGTATATTCATCTGATCGTCTTTCAGTAGAATATTTTTTATTTCTTTGTGGCATTCATTTAAAGTGGTGTTCGGATTCTGAATAATTTTACTTACTCTATTAATCTTTATTAACAGATCATTCCAAATTGTGATAGAACAAATGCTTTGATTTTGTCTAATAGTGATATTGCTGAATGTTTTGTGGCCATATCCCATTTTCCACCAAATCATGTAAGCTCTTACAAATTTCGGGAAATTGAAATCTAAGAGGGCGAATGGCTTTCACTCTGCTTTTCCATCGTGTTTCACTTACTGATTTCAAAGTTAAGTTTGGCACATTCCTTTTTAAAGTATTCCATCTGTAAGGTGAAGCGGAAAAAAATTGAATAGCTCCTGAACAATTGAAAAAACCTACAATCGTAATAAACTTTAGCTGCATCATTGACAGTCAAATTCAACGTATGAGCTGAACAAGGCAAAAACATTGCTCTGGAGTTATATTTTTTAATTTGAGCTTGAAGGCCCACATGCTTTCCAGACATATTTGCATCATTGTCCTATCCCTGAGCTCTCATATCATGAAGATCTGTTTCAAATTTAATAATAAAAATAATATTTCTTCTCTTAAAAAGTTGAAAAGCCCTTCACCTGTAGTATCCAAAACTTTGAGAAACCCATAAAAATGTTCCCTAATTTCAACTTCGTTTGAAGAACAATGAACCGAATTATAAAAGAAAGCTGTTCATTCAAAATTATTGAGTAATATTTTGCTGTTTTGAAACAGTCCAAAATTTCTCGCTGAATATTTCTTGACAATAAATGAATTAATTCGTTTTGGATAATGTGAGAAATGTCGGTGCAGCTGTTTAGACCTTCGAATGTTGCTCAGGTGTTCCATCATAATTGGATCAAACTTGAAAATCATTTCAACAAGTTTAAAAAAAATTCCATTATTCGATTCATAAAGATTCGAGCTGTCACCTCTGAAAGCTAAATTTCGACCAGTCAAATACTGCACAATACAATTCTCTCAATAATTTCGTGCCATCGTTGTTTTTCAATTTCATACTGTTTTTGTTGTTCTTTATCAATAGTGCTTTCTTTACTCAAACGCAGCTTTAACTCGTACCATTTTTGAGCACATTTCATATGCTTCATACTATCTTCATGACACACACAACATTGGTTGTGATCACATCGCGCTTACAGTGCGTTCCGATTGCGTGAAATACGCGTCAACGGCACATGAAAAAAAAAAACGTTGTGTGCAAGGGACCTTAGATTGATTAACATGTTCTAGTTTACTCTTTTACTTACGTGTTTGTAGCAGTTTATTATTCACCTCACAATAAAATTTACAATAAACGCGCTTGCGAACAAACCAGTGTTGGCGGATATGTCATAGCTAGAGTAGACAACATAATAAATGGAAAAAGTAGGCATATTGTCACAGAAACTGTAAGCAACTTAGCATTCCACTACTCGCATCTACTCCAGGGTACTGAGGGCTATTGGCAAATGATATCTATCGTAGGGTACGGAACGAAAAAGGTTGAATAAGATATTTTTGGAACGTGAACCAAATAACTGAGTATTTGGCGCTCCTATAAATTTGGCGCCTTCGTGCGGGGCATTAACTGCATACCCGGTAGGACCGGCCCTGGAAATATTGCAAAACTATTTTCAAAGTGAGTGCTGTGTTGCAGAAACTTTGCGAAAATTGAGAACACCATTTGGTCGGAATGAAGCTCCGACTGGTGTACGAAAATTCGTGAAGAAGGTTCGAGAAACTGGCCTGCTTGTGGATAACAGAAGGTATGAGCGTGTTCGATCCGTACGTACAGCCGAAAACATTGCTGCTGTTGCCCAGAGTGTGCGTGAAAATGCAATAATGTCAACTCGTAACAGAGCACATCAGTCGCACGTCTGTGCGGAGAACATTGCAAAACGACCTGGGATTATTTCCTTACAAGGTGCAGCTTGCGCAAGAGTTGAAACAAAATGACCATCCACTTCGATATCGTTTCTCTGTGTGGGCTCTAGATCAATTGGAAACGGACGTCAATTTTGGTCGCCAAATCATCTTTTCGGACGAAGTCCATTTCCATCTGGGAGGTTGTGTTAACAAGCAGAACTGTAGGATTTGGGGTTCTGAAAATCCGCATGCCGTCCTAGAAAAACCAATGCAACCAAAAAAGAGTAACTGTTTGGTGTGGCTTTTGGAGTGGTGGGATTATTGGTCTCTACTTTTTTCAAGATGAAGATGGTAACAGCGTGACGGTAAACGGGAAACGCTATAGAGACATGTTGAGGAGTTTTTTGTGGCCACTATTAAACGACATGCACTTGCACAATGTCTGGTTCCAGCAGGATGGCGCAACATGCCCCACCAGCCGTGAAATCATCGATCTTTTACACACAAGTTCGGTCATCGCGTAATCAGCCCTTTTGGAGACGTTCTTGGCCTGCCCGCAGTTGTGATTTGACGCCCATTACTTCCTATGGGGTATTGTTAAGGACCGCTGTTACTCTAACGATCCTCAAACAATCGATGATCTTAAGGAAAATATCCGTCGAGCTACTGATGAAATAGACCCACAATTTATCGAAAATGTGCTTCAAAATTGGGTTAAGGGGATGGTCTACTGTCAGGCCAGCCGCGGCAGCCATTTGACTGAAATTCTTTTTCATAAATAATCGGAACGTGTATTCTCTTGAATAAAGTATCGAGTGTTACATATTATTGAAGAGTGTAGTTTTATTACCAATTTAAAAAAGAAACCAACAGATGGCGCACCCTTTAGATAATCAGTGTACATCTTAGATTACTAATGTGTGTAAATAAATTCCGTTAGGTGGTGACACCTAGTTTGAAGTTCATAGTTTCTGTATAGACTGTGGTGAAATAGCAGTTATGCTGCACAAGCTTCACGACTTCTTGCGAATATTTTTTTTATCCAATCTAACCGCAGTAAAGCGGAAGTAGACGGCAACGAACTGCCCTTATCTAGCATTCAGCCCTCTGACGTCGACGCAGTAGCCGGTTGGATGGTGGCATCTCCTTTTGAATAATTCAACTTGTCACGGACGGACGCGAGATTTAGAAACGACGAGACCAGGTCTATCCTTCGTTGGACCGTCGCCGGATTCTCCCTTTGCCCTCCTTACTTCCTCGCTCTCTCTGTCCCCTATCTCTGTGTCGAACTTTTTACTCAATGTTGGCAACTTTGCTCGTGTATGAGATTTCGCGAGGATGTTCCTTGGAATACTAGGAAAATCAAGTTGACTGTCATAAAAGCGTTAAAATTAAGATCTGTTTTGCAGCATCAGCCGTACATTGGCTGGATTTCTTTTGTAGGGCGTTTTTGAACAACTAGTGGATGCTGAACAAAGAATAGATAGCCACAACAAATTTTGAGGAAATACGTTTTTCTTTGTTAAAATGATGCCGCACATACATACAAACAAGTATGTAGGTTAGGTTTCTTGTGAGTGCATCAATAACGATCCTCCACTGTGACTCTTTGCTCTATTGTGGATGTATGTATGTAAGCTTTGATTATATAATTTGTATTTGTTTTATTTTCACGAAAACAATGCATTCTAGGAAACCCCACAACCAAATAAAAAAAAACAGTGGCGTACTATTTTCATTTGGAAAAATAATGCCACTAATCCCCTGTATCTCCGCCACTGGTGTACTTTAATTTTACGTAAAGACTTTTGAATGTGGACAATACTTAGGTAAATCCATATACTAAATTTTAGTTGATTCGCGTTGACGGTTTTGAAGATATTAAAAAAATGTTTTTTATTTTTAAACTTCAACACTACATGACATGAAGTCCTCGAGGAAAAATGTTTACATAGAAGACCCCCTTAAACTGCGGTCCTCTGTATAATGTTTCATGTTGGTCACGACTTGTGAATCACCCTGTAAGATGAAAGTTGACGTATTTTAACGTGTTTAAATTCCTCAATACGATGTCATAAAAAAGAAAATACCCCAGATCACGATATTATGATTTCTATACGTTTTTTACATACGCATGTTTGCCACCTCTTAATGTATTATTGCATTTTATTTTTGTTTTATGATTCTACAAACCTAGATACTCGTACTTTTGATGCTGATAACTTGAGCTCTCTAATTCTCCATTGAAATCTTCATCACCATATGACTGCATTTTGCTAATTACTGAACTGACGAAAACATGCATATGCATGCTGCATGCATCCAAACAGTCTTGGATTTATAGGTGCACTTAAACGTTCATCAACGTTCTCTGGTTCTTTGTAGCTGCGCAGATTTATGGGAGTGCACCTCGTCGGTTCTGCAGGAGAGACAAATCGCTTTCCGGCCGTGCCAGGTTTTGTTTTCCCGGAGCTTTTCGGAAACGACCCCGCCAACTGGGATGGGAGTTGCCGCTTAGAATGTAGAAATCTCTTTGATAAAAATCGTTTTTCACTACAAGTTAGGCAGCGGGACTTATCCATGAATAGTACAGAGAATTGCTAAATTATTTTACAGGATTCTAAATCTAAAACTCGTTGAAAAGTTGTTCTTGGTATTTTGTTACTTTCCTGAACAATATTCCTCTTCTTCTAAATTAGTTGGATTATTCTCGTAGACCACCGATTTGAGGTAGCTCCATAGGAAATAATCGCATGGAGAAAGATCGGGGCTAGGTGGTGGCCATTCAATATCCCCCCTTTTCGAAATGAGTTTTCCGGGAAAGACATTTTTCAGCAGCTCTATAGATACAATAGCTGTATGATATGTGGCCCCATCTTGTGAAACCACATTCTAAAGGTATTGCCTTGGAGTTGTTGCAAAGCTGTCACCAAGAAGTCTGTTATCATATTGCAATAATTGTTAGCTTTAACTGTGATCACTTGCCCTCTTTCGTCCTCAAAAAAGTATGGTTCAGTAATTCCGGTTGACCTAATTCAAGCCCACACGACTAGTTTAGGGTTGTGAAGTGGACGTTCATGCCAGCGTCGGGGATTAGTTTCGGACCAGAACCGACAATTTTGTTTGTTAACATGGCCGTTGAGGTGAAAATTGGCCTCATAACTAAAAATCACGTTGTTAAAACTGTTGAATCCGTCGAGCATCAAATTGACAAAGTTAAGTCGGTTATTGGCATCATCTGCATTCAATTCTTGGACTAGTTGAATCTTATATATAAGCCTTCAAATGCAAATCACGCTTCAACATTCGCCGCAAGCTCGTTCTTTTGATGTCCAAAGTCTGACTTACGCATTGACTGTTGCGGATTTCGCTGAACTGAAACACGAACACGCTCTACATTGTCGGCCGAACGACCACGAGCTGTTTTTGCTACTATCGAGCCGGTTGTTTCGAACGTTCTGATCCACTTCCGTATCACATTGGCGCTTGGAACATCTCTTAAATCGCGTAAACCGTGTTTATGTCGATACAAACGTCGTACAGATGTATTGTTTTCATAATACGCTCGGACACAAAATGCACGTTGCGCTCCCGTGTACGGCTCCATGGCGACTAAATTTTCAGGCAACGGCGCGGCTAACAGCTTATCACCCCTAACCCGCGCCCCGCGTTTCCGAAAAATTTAAGATTTAAATCGGCAATACTCTTACCTATCTTCATTCGTTGTGAAGCTATTTGAGTTTATAATAAAATTCTAGAACTTGTGATAATATGGAACTATTCCTTAAAATAATTATCAATATACATGTAGTTCCCACAGTAACAAGACTTCAAAATTAAAAACAAACTAGCTAATTACGTATCGCTAATTAAAGCAAAAACGGCCAACTTGTTACAACAATTTAATCATCAAAGCCCCCTCATGCAGTACTTGGCTTAGAGTTTGAACATCCAGTTTCAAAGTTCCTTAATCTAGATTTCCGCGGCCTCTTTGTGCAAAATCCTCCCTCCTCGGATAGCAATCTGGAGTTTCTGTCCTCAGTCACAGAAGGCGGAATTCTTATTTCTCATCCGAGAAACAAATATTAAATAAACAGATTTGGATTGTTGATTAAGCGTTGGGACATTATTTCGCAAAACTCCAACCTTCAAAATCGTCTTCATTAAGTTTTTGGACAATTTTTTTATTGGACGGGTGAATTTATTGGTTTTCAAAATCCCTTATACTGTTGAGCATGTAAGTCCCGAAGAAGTAGCCAGTCCACGAGTGCTTTGGGTGTTGTCAACTGCTACGCGTACCAAAACTGCTATTTCTGCGGCTTCATTTCCAACTGGTCGATTTTTTCGATTTCGATTACGCCGAATATTAAACACAGATCCAGTTTCTTCAAATTTTCTTCTCAAGTTAGCCACATACTTATCGTTAATATTTTTGTCTGAATGTAACGCATTAAACAACCGGGCAGTAGCTCTTGCAATGCTCCCATACCATGCCCATACCCTTTCTTGAATTGAACAAGTCATTGTTCAATATTTATCACAACTAGGTGGTGAACAATTTGTAATGACAGACAAAGTTTTTCTATGACATACGATGGCACTGACTGATTCTAAATGTTCTTGCTGGTATTTATGATTATTATTTTTGGTCGTGCATTCCATTATTATCAGTATTAAGTCAGTCGAATATTATTATAAACTCAAATAGCTTAACAACGATTGAAGATTGGTATAAACTTTATTATACAAAAGTTATTAAAAATATCACGGATAATATAAAAATGAAAAAATCGGGGTTTCCATTTAAAAATCTAAAGTAACGCAACATCTTATTTTTGGGGGTGGACCTTTTTGTTGAGCCACCATGCGGTAACATGACTGATTTATCTAATTTTCAATAAACTTAGCTAGGATTGAAGAGGGTAACTACTGACGCTTAATTGAAATTTTAAGATCTCTGCTCGGACTTCTTCGTATTCTTTGGAACTCCTTTGAAATTCTTGGATCTGAGATGTCTTTGGATTTCTTCGAATTTCATTTCACTTGTAGCTCTGAGCAATAATGGTGACAGAAATGTGTCTCCTATGCTTGTACAGTCGTTAGAGCTGTTGGAATTGAGTAGAATCTTGAAATGCCTTAAAACTTTTTGGATTGTCTTGGATTTTATTCTATTACCTCAGACCCCATTGGACCACCTCAGATTTCGCAGATTACCTCCTATCCCCTTGGATTGTCCTGGATCTCCTGAAGTGTGACAGGAACTTCCGTTAGACTGATTTTCTCCAAGTAGGATTAAAAAATTCTTCCTTCCTCTCACAGAAGACCTCTTTGATTATCTCGCAGCTCCTTGAATAATCTTAGTACCTTCCTGGACTATCTCGTATCTGCTTCGAAGAAAATAAAAAATTGTTTCCGTTACCAGCCCCTCGAGTAGAACCGGCTGATATGTAGAAACGCTGAATATGTTCATGCAAATGAACCGTATGTATTAATTTATATTGGCAATCCAGACGAGGATATTGACTCGGTCGGAAATGAAGTAAAACTGATATGGATATTTAACTTCATGCTGATTTAAACAAATTGAAAAATTGACTTTTGAATTGAATCGAGAGCGGTGATAGTTGTGTGAACGTTCCGTTGGGAACGAGTGTTTGCATAAGTCACTGTGAGGCTCTGGGGCGTCGAATAAGGACTATACCGATGTCTTGGGGAACTAGATGGATTTGCAGTATTCATGGCCATCTTAATCTTTGCTAATCAGACTATTCTTGGGTGTTTAAGACAAAATACTTGCTGATTTATACATAGATGATAATAATATTTATTGGAATAACGTGCACAAAATCTTTATTTTATAATAAACATAAAATACCCAAAGAAGTTTGAACTTGTGATTGAATCACATGAGAACGAAAAAAAGCACACACAAATGGATAAGTACACCGACGTTAAATAATGCAGGTATATTACAATGTAGTTAAATAAATTCATATTTTTCTAGGTGTAAGATTCGGATAAGTTATCCAAACAATTTTTTATATTGAATTGATGCTTGCATGAATTGCTTCGAGTTCAATAATGGTTTTTAATGTCTATAGGTTTATCGACCAAGTTCCTTGGTTGCTGTATAAATACGAGGCTTTTTCAATTGAAACCCATCTTTGGTCCAGAAAAAATTTATTGATATATATACCTATATATATACCTATATATAAATAATTATCACTACAATTGAGGAACATATCCCATTGTTTCACCAATCGATGTATACCCTGTTTATTGGCTTGTGGCTGCAGCTTGAGGAATTCTTTTACATTCTGTACTTGAACTTGACGTTTTCGTCTTATTGGTTGATGTTTCATTATACAGGTTTGCGTGGATATGGACTCTGGGTTCTTGAACCCTAAGAGCAAGGGTCCTTCGTGGCCGAAAAAAAAATTTCAAAAAGTCCTTGATTGCAGAAGGCTGAACTTCTTTGGTTGCGGAGAATTTGCATGTTTCCATTGCATCGATGACAGCTTACTGGATGGTTCAAAATAATGACACCAAGATTCGTGCCAGCAATTATTAACGGAAGAAAGTCATTACCGTTTTGCTTGTATTCCGTGAGATGTTGCAAAGATAAGCCCATTCGCAAGCTTTTTTGGCCCTCTGACAAAAGGCGAGGAACCCATTGCGCACAAACTTTGCTGTAACCCAATTTGTGTAAAAATAGTAAAGGCAACACCGCACCCCGTAGCACAGTTAATAAGAACGACAAACTGTCAAGATTAGGGTTGTTTCGATCCACGAAAAGCATCGATATGTATCGATTCTTATCGTTTTAGGAAGTATCGATACTCTAAAATATGGGAGTAAAATTATTGATATCCAGCGGGAGGAAACAAAGAGAAAAAGTAATCTAAAGTTAATAACTCTTTCTGACACAGTCCTGATCGAAAGATGACGATACTTGTTAAATTTATCGATATACCCAAGTGTCGTATATAAAAATATTGATCTAAGATATCGGGTATGGGAAGCAAAATTATCGATACTTCTATATATATTATCGTATGGAACATCCCTACTGCCAAGATGTATAACCCGAGGTACTGACGGAGCTATTTGGGGCGTCATGGAAATAATTTTAAATTTTCATTTGCATTTTTCCAACTGTTGTGCAATGATTTTGAGAAAAAATCCACGTATAGTCTTATAAAGCATAGTAGAGTATATTTCAACAGTTGGCGGACCAAACGTTGACGGATCCCACACATGTGTCACTTGTTGGGGGGAAATAAAATAATCAGCTGTTATTCAAATAATGTCTAATATAAATATAACCTAGAATGTGTACACAGTGAAATAAGGAATTTATAGCAAATTCTATTTTTTTGCAGGTTTTAGGTATGCGGGTAGCTTTACGACATATATTTGGGTATTTCTTAATCGCTGTAAATATAGCGTGGATGTCTATTCAGTTCCTGAACAACGAAAAATATTTGACTGTATGGATATCAAAAGTCCT